TTGCAAAAGGGGGAATGGTCCTTCCTCTAAATGGTTAAATCTACCTGTCCGGATTGAGTCACAGAGATGTGTTTCAAGAATGGAGATTTGGCTAAGTTTGATTCATGAAGTTGCTTGTAGTTTTGTTGAAAAGGGATTGTGTTTCAAGCACGATATGCTGGTTGGTTGCAATGTTTTCTGTATGTTAAGTCACAGATTCAAGCTGAAGTTGTGTTTGCCTTGTGTGCACCACCTACGCTACTGCTGACACAGATTATGCTACAACCACATATAAAGTGCTCTTTCACTCTCTTGTTCATCGTGTGGAACCAAGCCTTGTTTAGATTGTTTCAAAATGTAATTCTAGAGTTTTTCATTGTTAGTTGGAGTATTATAAGCTGCTGCGTTTTTCATTAATTCATGTGCAAGATGGCTTCATAATTGCCATCTTGAGGGAGGGTATTAGAGTATAAATGTATATGAATCCGGTTTGTTCCGGCTAAGCCGTAAATTGGTCAACTGTAAACCAAGGCTATATAACCTATGTATTGTTCTCATTGAATCAATAACAGAAACATTATTCTCAATTCCCAAATCCTCTCGATCACAAGAGAGATTTGTTTCTGTTCTAATGTAATCTCTAATATCCTTTCTTATGGTTGTGTCCACTCGAGGTCGCGACTGCAATTCGTGAAGAACGATGCCTATGTCTTCACCTTGAATTCCGAGTATCTCTGTGGGTCTGATGATTAGAGATTCTCGGTGGTAGGGTCGTTGATTGCTTATCGTCTTAATCTATTGAGGCCTCGATCTCTTTTCTTCTACCCCATGTTTTTGTTAACGGAACAAGGCTTCAAAGCTAGTGTTTTATGTGTTCTATTGTGTCAATTAGCCTCATGTTTATGATCTCTCCACCTCGGGTCTTTGCTTGTGGACAGTTGCAGAACCTTTGTGTGAGTGATTGTGTGTTAACTCGAGTGTGAGGCCTCGACATGATGGTCCCTTTCTTCGCTATCTAGTGCCTACGGTGATGTAACTTTGGAATGGGTATTGCTTCCGGTGGTGGCACGGTATCGACTCCTTGTGATTTCATCTCTTATATATCTAGCTTTGATGTTTGGTTACATGCCAAGTTATTGCTTGTGTCTCGGTGGTGATGGTGTTGTTGTATTTGAGGTGATGTGTTACTAGTGCGTTTAGCTTTAGTTGCTTTAGTCTTGTGGTCTAGAGGAGCTAGTAAGACTGATTATGGTCGGTGTAGCTTTGTTATGATTTATCTATCTCTGTGCTTGCTGACTTCAGAGGAACTTGAGAGAGTGAGTTTGCTCCGTCTGTATTTATTGGTTTGTAAGGTTTTATTTCCGAGAAAGCTCATGGAATTGTTCTCTTAGTTGTTTTCGCATGACACAGGGGGTGTATGTGATCGAAGACTTTGTAGACCTTCCCGTTGACGGCTCAGTTTGGGGCATCCAGTGAAAGGCTTATAGTGTCACTTGATTTGGTTTCCCGGTTTTGTGCCTTGTTTCTACTTCCTCTTCTCGAGCATCCGATTTGGCGAGGATAAGAATATCATCATCACTTCACTACTCCGTTAGCTTTCGTGCTTTCGTTGAGTTATGAACTAAAAATCGTAATGTAATATGCTTCCATATTTTTATATTTTTTGCCATGGAATCATTTGCTAAGTTTATATTGTCTCGACTTGTAAACCTAAAACATTTTTATTTTATAAATTTTCTTCAACTTATCCATTATGCCACCAACACAAAAAGTAAGTAAATTATAGCTTTTGGACGAATATTTTTGTCCCAATTATATCTCTAAAACGATAATAGTTAGGTTATTATCTTTTAATGTTTCGATCGGAAGATTGGAAAAAATTTCGATCCTTTTTCGAAGATATTCCAATCATATGTTTTTCATACATTCCGATATAGTTTACATTGCCATTTTTCGTCAATTGAAGAAATTACGAGGACTCTATTGTT